ACCCCAGACCTTCTCACCAAACTCGTGACCGAAGGACTAGCCAATCTAAAACCGCAATGTCCTGTGCGTAACAATGCCACGCCCAGCTGCACCCTGCACAATGATTTTTCAGCTAATTGGACCACAATTGATATACCTGCAGTCTGGGAGCGTTTGTTACTGGGTCAGGTTAATTACGTAATTAACCCTTCACACTGCCACCGCCTCCTTTTTATACATTGAAAGAGGAAACTCAGCAATACACTAGGATGATTGGTTAACCGTCAGTATCCCGCTATCTCTACAGACCGGTTATACAGAGGGTTAAATACTCACAGTAGCGCTCTTCAGCGGCAGGGATTCGTAAGTTACATTCAGGAGCTATAGAAACAGTTCAACACTTTTAGAAAGTAAGATTTATTACCAAAAGGTTAAAAGGGTGCAGTAAAAATATTTACAGAAAGCAGATGTAACCAATATATATATACAGAGCACAACCGCACAGCAAACGGATAACACAAAGAAGTTTAGGTAAATAAGTACTTGCCAAATAAATGCCTGGGGTTAAGCAGTTTCAAGTCTGATGAGCTAAAAAGGGATTTCTGGTCTCACACTCGGTTTTGTTGTTGCAGCGAGATTCTCCTTTGCTTTCTTCACTACCTTATTTGGCAAGAGAATTGTTTAAAACTGCTACACTGAACGCATTCCTGAGGGAGGGGGTGGAATGAGGGGATACAGAAGACTTCTTAATACAGCAGTGAGATCCTGTGCCTGGCTCTTGTATGCACGATACTACACCTTCCCCCCCCCCCCCCCCCCTCAGGTGATGGCATATGAGTTTAAGAGCAATACCAAAATGTAGAAGTTTGGGGTAAAATGGAGAACCGCACCTCTACCTGTGGGCATGATTGTGACAGTAGACACCCCCAGAAAAATTTGCAGCGAGGCATGTTGAGTCCAGTTGTCACTTTAACAATATATTGCTCATGCATGCTATTGGTATATGTGGAATAATACCCCAAAACACATTCTTCTACTTCTCCTGAGTATGGGGATACCACATGTGAGAGACATTTTGGCAGCCTAGCTACATACATGCCCCCAAAATCCAATGACCACCTCCAGGCTTTCAAAGGGCGTATTTCCTCATATCACTTCCCCACTACCTACCTACCACTACCAGTTTCGGAGGCTCTAAAATGGCAGGATAGTACAAACCCCCCCACCAAATGACCCCTTTTTGGAAAGTAGGCACCCCAAGGAATTTGATGAGGCATAGCGAGTATTTTTTACAGATATCATTTTTGTCACAGGGTTTTGACAGAAAAAATACATTTTTGTTTTTCTTTCTTCGTTTTCCAAAAACATGTGGAAACAAATGAGATCTGAAAAATACTCCCCATGCCTCTTAGCAAATACCTTGGGGTGTCTACTTTCCAAAAAGGGGTAATTTGGAGATGTTGCTTCTACTATCCTGGCATTTTAGGGCCATCAATAGAAGCTTATGCCACACATCACCCACTCTTGAAGATCAAGCCTTTTCTGACACTTTGTTCACATGAAAAAAAACAGTTTTTTCGCTAGAAAATTACTTTGAACCCCTAAACATTATATATATTTAGCAGAGGCCCTAGAGAATAAAATCGTGAGTGTTGAACTTTTTTTACATCACACATTGTTTGCGCAATGATTTGTCGAACGCAAATGTTTTGGGAAAAATACACGTTTTAGAATTTCAATACACAAAAGCACAATATATTGCCCAATTGTTTGATAAATTATAAAAGATGATGTTACGCCGAGTAAAATGGGTACCAAACATGACATGCTTCAAAATTGTGCATGCCAGTGCAATGGCAACAAAGTACATACATTTTTATTATTGATAGGCAATGCTTTAAAAGCCTTTACAGGTCAGCAATTTATATTTACACAGGAGTTCTAGTGCTAGAATTTCTGCCCTCGATCTGACGTTCACAATGATACCTCACATGCATGGTGCAACTGTTGTGTACATACCGTCACGGGATCAATGCTTGCGCACGCAGGTGCCTGTGTGCAGGGGGGTAAGGGTGCTTTTTCTTCGTTATTTTGATTTTTTAAATTATTTTTACACTGTCTTCTTTTTTTTTTTTTTTTTTTAATCACTTTTATTGCTATCGCAGGGAATGTAAATATCCCCTCTGACTGCAATAGGCATTGACAGGTATTCTTTTTTGAGAAATCTGGGGTGTATCAGACTCTAGATATCTCCTCTGCCCTTACATCATCTGATCTCCACCAAGATCGGTGTGATCAGATGCTTTCCCAATGTACAAATGGTGCTGTTTATATCCTGCAAAAACTGAAGTGATGAAATGCTCTTAGCTTCCGATTTCTTAGACTATAGAGATGATTGGAGCCATTCTGGTCTCTGATCAGCTCTATATCTGCCGGCTGCATTCTTGGCTTTCCCTGTGGGACAGAAGAACCCAAGAAAACTGTGGAAGGCAGCAGGAGGGGGGCGGATGTCCCTTCCCGCTGCTCGTAAAAGCATTTCAGCAGCTAATTGGCCACTAGGATTGCCTTTAAATGAAAAACCGACAGTCAGCTGAAAAAAACAATACCAGTATAATGCCTGTAGCTGCAGACATCATCCCAGTATAACTATTCAAAGTCCAGCGACATACCAGTACATTGCTGGTCCATGTTGGACATATATGTAACAGCAGAGAACACAGGCATACGAAGAATCGGGTCTGTGGACCAATATGACCGTAATTCATTCTTGTAATGTCCATGTTGAGGGTTAGGCCCAAAAAAGTTTTAAATTCAGAAACCGTGTTAGGTTTTTATGCGAATTGTCTGGCAGGAGCTGAATTTGGGTGGGTGGTGATGTATTGTTGTGCGTATAAATTGCCTTGGCCCACAATCAATTGGTACAAATCTTCTGTGAAGAACAGCAGAGGGGCTAAACGCTAGTGCTGGCAGCGAACAGGGCTAATCCTGCTAACACTGCGTTTTTGGGGACACACCCCAAAATAGGAAGCGACTCAAGATTACGTTGCTTTGCCAAGAGCTGCTGCCCACCCGTAATATACGAGTAAGTGGTTGGTAAGTAGTTAAAAAAAACCCCAAAAATTCTCAATATGGTATGGGGGGGAGGAGTCAGCGATTTGTTAGGTTTTTTTTTTTTTTTTTTTTTTTTTTTTTTTTTTTTACCCTTTGCTTTGCAGGAGAAATAATGATCATTTCTCCTGCAAAGCTTGCTGTCATGAACCTAACTCATTCATGCACTGTCATCATTGGGTTTTTGACAGCTCAAGATAGTGATCTGTGTTTGGCTGGAGCTGGTCACATGGTATATGGTGCTGTGATTGGCCCCATGTATCATGTGAGCTGTGGGGCCAATGATAGCTCACTAGGAAGAGAAACAGAGCTGTTATGAATGAGATTGATTCATTAAACCTTTGCTTACATTGTGATCATGTGATTGCATAGCGATCACATGATCACTGGGATTTTATTCCGCTGTGTTTGCTAGACACAGCAGTCGCGGTGGGGGAGCGCGCAGCGCCCCACTTGTGTTGGTACAGCCAGAGCAACGTACGGGTACGTCACTTTGCCTATAGCTGCCGCCTGGCCGCAGTACATTGCGGTCAGGATGTGGCTAGTATATAAATAAAAATTCCAGAATACATACCATTGTTGGTAGGCACTATACCTTTCACACTAACCAATCAATATACACTTATTGGGATTCTTTTTACTAAGGACGCTGAGCAGAATGCATTTGGCCAAATGTATGACGAAATTTGATTTAAAATTTTTTTTTTATTAGATATGTTTTATAGCAGAAAGCAAAAAAAAATATTTTTCTTTTTTTCAAAACCTTTTGGTCTTTTTTTCATTTATATAACAAAAAACACAGTGGTGATCAAATACTGCCAAAAGAAAGCTCTACCTTTGTGAAAAAATTATATACATTTCATTTGGGTACAGTGTTTCATGACTGCGAAATTGCCAGTTAAAGTAGAGCAGTGCTGAATAGCAAAAAATGGCCAGGTCATGAAGGGGATAAAACCTTCTGCAGTTCAAGTGGTTATATACACTATTTGGTTTTGAGTTTTTTATTATCAATAATTTAGTGCTAGCTGCTTGTTTTTCACAGGATCAAGTAATCGAAGTGCAGATTTTTCATTTCATCTTTTAAATGGATGAAATGAAATGGGATTTTCTCAAATCTAACTACAGACAGAAACTGGAGCTTCTATCTTCAGCTTGTTCAGTTAAGCTTTGAAAATGAAAGATAGAAACTGATTGGTTGCCATGCTCAACTACTTTAGATTGTGTGCTGTGTTTTTTTTTTTTTCTGCATTCCCCTGTGGTTACTTCTCTGGCTGTAGGAGAATGTAGCCCCATCCATGCTGGGATAGTCTCTGATCACCAGTCAATAAATCCATATCACCTTCTACTTGAGTACCTTTTAGTTTAGGAACTTTAGTCTGGACAATCTCTCGTTCTCTGCAGCTGGGTAATATTTTGTAACATTGACCCTAGGTTCACATCTGTGCGGGTGGTGCCGCTGCGGATCCGCACGAAAATCCGTGCAGCCGCACCGCCCGCAGAGAGAATTGCGGACCCCATGGGCGGGTGCCATCAGTTCTAATGGCATGTCGCACGCACTGGAAAATGCAACCGTACTGCGAACCGAGGTTCCCGTGCGGGCTGCGTTTTCCAAAGAAGTGCAGGGCCTCCTTTGCCTGTGTGTTGCGGGCACGGAAGTCCATTCAAATGAATGGGCTCTCGTATCCGTGCACAACGCGGCCTGCACAACCGCATAGATGTGAACCGGGGGTGAGGCAGTAATGCAGGTTTTAGGTAGGGTTGTGGGTCAGGTTCAGGTCTCTCATCTACAACTTCTTGTTTTGAATCCATAAAACAAACCACCTGTATATATATTTGTATGTTGGCTGGTAAGCTTTCCTAAATGATTTCTCATGTGTTTTGCAGCATAAATTTGACACCACAAAACTGGGTGAATGGCGGGCACCAATGACCTTAAATTTCAAGGTAAATCCTAAGCTTGGCGTCTTTAGCAGTTTTGTTAATTCTCTATTTTAGTATGGCAGACTGAATATTGCACAGGTAACAAATGTAAAAAGTTCACATATGGCTGCTCGTAGGACATTTTTATACTAAGGAAATATATTGCCTGGAAGAAGTGTTAAACCCAAAACCAAAACTGTAATATATTGCAGCTTTCCAATCCTTGGATGTGGTGGCTGCTTTACTTTTTATTTTTTTCTCCCTCTGTTTTCACTTGTTGATCTGGCCTGTGACACACCTCCTGTATAATAGTGCCCTAATTGTGGATGAAGGAACACAGGGGCATCTTTGGACAGCAGCATTATCAGTCTGGGAGGGAGGGTAGTGTTAGATGTTCTAAGAGATTTAGATACACTAACAAATTGAAGCCAAACTCCAACTCAAACTGCAGTTACACAGGCAGATACAGCAAACATTTTTATTTTTTATTTTGGGATAAAAATTTTACATACATAAAAGCTGATCCTTGTAAGCACCTCTGCCAGTGGTAAATGGTTTGTCTCAACACTCTCAACTGAATACATTTGCAGGAGAGCTTGTTCTGTTGAAAAACAACAGACTTACTGGCCAGATCACCAGGGGAAAATAAAAGAAAACTAATGCAGCCGTCACATCTAAGAATTAGTAAGCTGCAATATAATAAATGATTGCTTTTGGGTTTAATACCACCTTAGGTTTTGTAGATATTCTGTACAAATCTGTCTGGCGGTGGTGTGACAGATGCCAGAACTTGCAACAGGTACATGTAAGTGTCAGGTTTATATCAATTTGGCAGAATGTCAACAGCACACCGAGGATCACCAGTCCAAAGTTTTAATGAACGATCACATAATTATAGCAAGGCAACATTTCGGAGTCTCGCAGGACTCCTTCTTCAGGCATGTGGTCTCATGCCTGATGAAGGGGTCCTGTGAGACTTTGAAACATTGCCTTGCTGTAACTATGTGATCGTTCATTAAAACGTTTCGACTGGTGATCCTCGGTGTGCTGGTAACATTCTCCCTTGCTGATTCTGTTCGGTTCCAGCCGACAGTCGCTGCAGCACCCACTTATACACACAGCCATTTTTAACGCAGGAACGTGTCTGTTTGGATTGTACACTTGTTTATATCGATTTGTCGTATCACTGACAGAACTGCCACAAGCTTCTTTCTTGTGAAGTAGCAGAAGTTTAAAGATCGAGAAGCTATCTGGAGAAGTTGGGAGAGTAAGTTGGGAAAGTAATGGAAATGTATATCAGTTCTAGGGGAGCTTAAGAAAAATATTTTGTTGCAGAATTGTCTCAATGAAAAATAATTACACGTGACACAACCAGGGTGGATAAAAATCAATGATTTTTTTAAAAAATCAAAAAAATCTGATTTTTTTTTTTAATTTAAATCGGATTTTTTTTATTTAAATCAGATTTTTTTTTTTCTAAATAAAATGCTTTTTGAGGAAAATATATTACCATCCAAAGGTTATTCCATCATGAAATAAAGATTAGTTTTTTAATTATGTAGAATAAGGCTGTATATGTTTAATTTTTTTGGTAAATAAATTCCATGAATCCATTCACAATGTCATGCTCTTCCAGAGGTTTTTGTAAGATTATTGGGCAGTTTCTCTGCCTACAAGATATTATCACAGATGCTCGGTTTACTTTTGCAGTTCTCAAAACTGAATTTGACTCAGCGGAGATCACATGCCTCTTCTTCACAGCAAAAATGTTATAACATGAACAGAGAGTTAAGAAAAAGACCTTAATCCTAACTTCTACAAACCTATGAATACAGAATCAACCCCTTCACTGCTACGTTTCAAGAAGTTCAGTGAATAGAATAGAAACAATATTTTTCTGATTGTTTGGAGTGGAATAGATCTGCACAAGAAGAAAGTGAAACTAAGTGTGAGGAGGAAGGGGCTGACAGTCTAAGTTTCTTAAAATATATATATTTTGTTTAGCCAAATTAGTTGACAAACATGGATGTTTGTTGAAGCAAATAACATATGCTGTAATGTTATTGTTTCAGTTGAATAAATCTATTTAAATTGTTATTATTAAGGTAATGATTATTTTTCTCCTTCCTAAGTACAACAGAAAAGTTGTCCAAATATGAATGATTAACCTATTAAACTGGGGATAAAAAAAACTAATATGAAAAGTTGTTATTCTAAAAATCTTCATCTACTTGCATATTAAAGTTATACCAGCAAGAATTAGTCTTTATGTAGAAAACTAGGATTTAAATCAAGCCTTACTGACTAGTGATTTAAATCGTGATTTAAATCAGTTTGATTTAAATCAAATCTACCCTGGACACAACCAAACAATGAGACATTTACATTGACAGCTGTCTTGGTCACCTCCTGCCTGGCTGTTATGTGTATCCAAGGCTTTAGTATTTTATAAGTCACTGTATTGCAACAAGTATGCAGATCTGGACTTATGGCTTCACTTGATGCATTCTTGTACTGATTCAGGAAACCTTGAAGCCAGAGCCTGCCAGACAACTAGCCCTTTCAGAAGATGGTCAGCAATGGCACCCATGTATTCCTTTCACCACCGCTTATTTTCTATTTTGTTTATGCCATTGGCGATGAGGTTTGCAAAGTGACTTTTATGTTTTGCTTTGTGCTACTTGACAGAGTTTGATGATGCAGCCAATGTACCGCCTGCCAACCCCCGATGCCACTACTGTGAATATTGGCGATACTGAAGACAGCAGTGGGAAGAAGAAAGGGTGGCAATCCAGAGAAGAAGAGGAGGACTTATTGGGAAATGAAGATTCTGATAAAACAGAGGTGAAATACAGGAAAAACTATGGGGATTACACTGGGCCTAGTTTATCAAACTATCTGCAATAATATAACACCCAGGAAGTTAGTAATTTTAGAAGGAAAGGTCAGCGATGGTTGTCTACAATAGCCTTTCTCAACCAGGCTGCCTTGAGGTTTCTTCATGGGTGCCTTGGCAAAATGTCTGAAAATTGCCCAAAACTTGTATACAAGCCACCGGGTGGAACAAGCCTGCCTTTTAGTTACACAAAGGCACAGGTTTTCATTGTGCATCATTACAACCTTCTAGCTGCCAGCATCCTGACAACCAATTACATCATCAGTTGATGAGGATGATGTCAGCTTCCTGCACAGCATTCTAGTTTGACCTCCCTCGCCCCTCTCCATCAGTGCTGGGGTCACATTAGCTCAGTGATTGGGAAAAAAAAAACTGAGGGAGAAGAGAAACATTGGAATACTAGTCAGTACCAGTGTGCAAAAAGTGTATTTGCTTTGGAAGAATAAATCACCACTAATGTTGGATGTCCTACATGTGTGGATGTTGCTGTGTTATATAAAACTATTAGAATAGTTTTTCACATATTAGAATGGGGTGCCCATAATTTTAAAGAGGCCTCGGGACTGTCTATAATTTTAAAGGGTGCCTTGACCGAAAAAAGGTTGAGAAACACTGGCCTACAATATCTGTCATGACAGCGTTCCTGTAATTTTTTAACTTAAATCTTTAGGTAGTGTAGGAAAGGGCATTTATTTTACATAGAGATCAGTCTTAAGGACAAACAGCCATCATTTTTGGTGTGAGAGACCAAATACTGTATATCTTTTACTGTAGCTCCAAGATCAGATATATCAGTAGTCGTAGCTCCAAGACCAGAAGGCATCTTTTTTTTTTTTTTTTTTTTTTTTTTTTTTTTTTTTTTTTTGCAGAGGCTGAGGTTGATGAGAATCTTCACTTTAAAAACGTGTGTATATTGGAGATGAGCTCAAAGTGTTTGCCCAAACTTTGGCTGGACAGTGTTTGTCCAGATGCTGGACTTTCTACTTGTTCAGCTGGAGCTGAACGTCGTGTGAAGTAGTAGTATTTCTACCACTACTATATATGACAGCTTTCTTGCTGTAAATGGTTGCTAAGGAAGCAGTGGGTGCAGACATCCAAAACATTCTTAGCAACCAATGACATCACCCAGCCCCATTCATTTACTTGTTGGGATTCTCTGGCCATGTAAACAAAGAGGTGGATTAAGGGTCATGTCACTGACTAAATATGTCCTTATTCAGTCATTGACATTGACCAAATATTGTTATGGTCATATTTGGTCAATTACATCACCCAAGAAATGAGCCCCTTTTTTTTACCTTTTAGCAGCGGGGCCTGGGAGGTATCATTTGGTACCAGCTGATTCTTTTGGCGGGTATTGAGCGTTATTCATAATAACTAAAGTTGTTCTGCATCACAACTTGATTATCAGTGGATTTACGTTGTTGAACCTATTATTATTAATATTTTTTTTAATAAAGGACTGATCAAAAAGTATGTAAGTATATTTACTCTTCACTTTCTCATGTGAATGAGTAGCGGTTATTACTCATTCACACGGGGAGGCGGGTTTCTCGGTGCCTCCTTATTGTTAAAGGAGACTTCCAGATTCTGATAAGCCCCGTTGCCTACAGCCCTTCGGTTGTAGTAAAGAGTCCCTTGTCCCCTACGTCTTATATGTTATATGTTGAGGGGGGGGATAAGGGGAAGCACCTCCCTCCCTTAGACTGTACGCTCAGATAATGGTCTGATATGCATTTTTTGGGGGACCCTATGCCTGTTTTTTGTGTGTGGTTCCCCCTTAAAATGTATGCAGACATCAAGGATAAAAGTCTCATATGCATTTTTAGGGGTGAGGCCTATGTCTGGTTTGTATAGCAAATATGTTTTTATTTTTCAGCTGCTTGCAGGACAGAAGAGAATTGCACCCTTCTGGACATTTGAGTATTACCAGACTTTCTTCGATGTTGATACTTACCAGGTAAAAGGCATGTCCAGAATCTGTAGTGTAAATAGTCTATAAATTGGAGAATAGTACCCATATTAGTGTATATAAGGCAAAATATTGTATATTTCAGTAGCAGTGAGTTTGTTTTGGTTGCAGTATGTATCAGACAGATCTAAAATAACACCAATAAATGTAGTTATATATTCTTTATTGCAGCTAGTGTAAGAAACTAAATTTTGAATTGATACCAGCCTCTTGTATTCCCTTTGTAAATGTTGAGAGTGGGAGAGGCACATGTCATTCAAGCTCTGCTGCATATATAGAAGATGTGCAGACAAGGAATTTACCTGCTTATCTGAACTTCAGATTTTAATACATTTTTGGTAACCTTCATATTTTTTTTTGTCTAAACACCTGGGGAGCACTTCATCTACATCCAGCAACTAGGCCATACATACACGCCCAGTATTCCCTCCACACCCAATCTAACTGGGAGGCATATCACCCAATCCTGGACTGCCTGTGTCAGGGGGATGAACATTGTCCGGATACTCTGCTCACTCATCATCTGGAGAGATTACTATTACTATTATACAGGTTTATATAGCACCAACAGTTCCACTTGCAGCAAAGAGGCTGTGCATACTTCATATTTTTACATGCTTGCTTTTTATATATTTTTTTTTTTAGTGTATTAATTATAGCTATTTGTATAGAGTGTAGGTTGGCCTCACTCAACAGTTAAGATATATGTATGTATGCAGGTTAGTGAGCACACTCTGAAAAGCGGCTATTGCACTAAAAGGAACCACAAAACCTCTCTAATAGAATTTATCAATGGGGAGTGCAGTGCTACAAAAAGTCATGAACAAACTGAACCTTCAGCAAAGAGATAAATGAATGAATAAATGACATATGTCCAGTACAATAATATCATGTGAAACATATAGTCCAATAATATTAATAATAATCGACTTCAATCACTGTGGGTATGGTCCGGTATCCTGATGTAGAGGTATAGATAGATTGCCTACTCACCAGAAGCGCAATCTCACTGCGCATATCAAGATCACATGCATCCGGGAATCCTGGATAGGAGCTGCCTGGTATTGTAATCCTCTGGTGGTCACTCAATGGTGTGTGAGAAGGATACCGGTCTGGTCACAGCGTACTTACTCCTCAGATCTGCACCGATGCCTGAAATACTGGGGCTGAGGTTTGGAGGCTCACTCCTACAGTAGACGTGTGTTTACACGAAACGCGTCTAGGAGGAGCCCTTGCATGCCTTGACGTCACGCCGCTGGATCAGAAGATCTGGCGGCCACCATATGAGTTATACTGGTCAGTGCTTTTTAGGTGCTTTTATTACTGTTTACAAGCAGCTTCCTACACTACCCGCAGTCACTGTCATGTGTGTACATTTCTGCTTAAACTCGATTTAATAAACCTTTTTATCAACATTACTACACTATGAGCACCTTTATTCTCTATACCTGGCACGATACCTCAGCCCCAATATCTCAGGCATCGGTGCAGATTTGAGGAGTAAGTACATTGTGGCCAGACCAGTATCCTTTTCACACCATTGAGTGACCACCAGAGGATTACAATACCAGGCAGCTCCTATCCAGGATTCCCGGATGCATGTGATCTTGATATGCGCAGTGAGACTGCACTTCTGGTGAGTAGGCAATCTATCTATACCTCTACATCAGGATACCGGACCATACCCACAGTGATTGAAGTCGATTATTATTAATATTATTGGACTATATGTTTCACATGATATTATTGTACTGAACATATGTCATTTATTCATTCATTTATCTCTTTGCTGAAGGTTCAGTTTGTTCATGACTTTTTGTAACGCTGCACTCCCCATTGATATAAACAGTTAAGATAAGATATCAGCCACCCAGTAAGTGCATTATTTCCATTGAGCTGGCAGACCTATGGACTTACATTATGAGAAGAACACTTAAACACAACTAGTGTTTGTAATTATGTATATAGAAAGCTGTACATATATGGGGCAACCATATTGGCCCATTACATTGTTAGGGTCGGCTTCTTCTCTGACAAATTAAACACAGAAAAAAGGTTTAATAAAAGGAAACCACATTGATAAGATAACTTACATCAAGCTGACCTCTCTATACCTAAAAACACTGAATATTCTATACTGTACATTGCCTTTAACAAAAACTGAATGTGTTTGCTTACATATTGTAACACAATGCCACAGGTTCTGGATAGGATAAAAGGTTCTGTCTTACCAATACCAGGAAGAAATTTTGTACGGTTGTATGTCAGAAGCAATCCAGATCTTTATGGTGAGTTTTAACTTCACTGTTGAAGTCCTTTGTGCAAGAAACTTCTTAAAGTAGGAGTGGGTTTTAAAGAGACAGTGTCCCCCCCCCCCCCCCCCCCCCTTCCCTTAGAGTGCATAGCGGCACACCTATCTCTGATTTTGAGCACTTTCATATGTGGGAGGGCACATGCTTCCCCATATCCCCACTCTGTTAAAGAGGCAAAACATGGGCCCAGAGAGAGCAGCTGGGTATACATTGCTGGGGCTCTTTTTAGGAGGGACTGTTACTTTTGCCTGACCAGAGTGAAAGTGTCATTCGATATCCACTTTCCTGGAAAACTTGACTGCATAGATACCTTTTACATTCCTTTTTTGTTAAATAAATAATTTTATTTTAATAAATGTATTTTTTTTTTTTTTTTTTACACTAGCTGTTTTATCAGATTTTAGGCTTATGCTTT